GCCGCGTGCTCGAGCAGCACGCGGATCTCACGATGGGCCCGACAATCCTCGAGTGTCACAGGCTCAAAATGCCCTCGGAGCAAGGACGCCGCGACAGCGATGTTCAGGCTTGCCCGTGCGAAGTGTGGGAGTGCTCCATCATCTTCGATGATCCTTCGGTTCACGTCGAAGACGATGGAGCACTCCCACACTTCGCACGGGCAAGCCAGAACATCGCTGTCGCGGAGGGCGACTCTGAATCTCTCGCAAGAAGGTCGTGGAAAGATTCCACGATGTATTCGGTCACCCCCACGAACTCATCGTTCTTAGGGGATGGGTGCATGTGCTGCACCACAAGGTATCCAACGGTCTCTACAGCGTTGCGCAGACCGAACGGGAACGTTGTCGGGGCATTCCGGATGAGGTATTCCAGGGAGAGCGGTTCCCCTCCGCAAGCTGCGTCATGATGTTGGCAAATGAGAAGGTGAGGTAGCGCAGGTCCTCCCGGGATGGTCGGGGTCCCAGGAAGACATGGAGCTGGCGCTCTAGCCTCCCGTAATCGAAGCCGAGGAGTTGGTCGCTCCTGGGGGCACGGGCCTCCGGCGCGTGCAACTGTAGCTCCTCAAGCGCCTCGACGATCGCGTCGAGGCCGGCAGAGTGGAGGGGTTAGACGGTGGCGGGAGCCTGCGCTAACTCTCCATCTGTCGTGACGATAAAGTCCAGGTTCCCGAAGCGCACGTGACTAGCCATCCGAGGCCTGATGTGGATGTCGAGACGCGCAAAAAACCCCTAGCTGGTGCGCAAATTGTCGATGTTTCGAACCACCGGCTAGTAAATTTGTATCTACGCGTCTGACATGGATGGTGTGCTCAGAGGACACAAGGATTTATGCTAGTTCGGGCGGAATGTCCTTACGTCCAATCTGCTGCTGCTCGTGTTACCGTCACTAGTTTATAGTAGGAGTTACAGATATGCGAGAGAGAGAAGTTCCCAAGTCTTTGGTGAAAAGATCGAATAGAGTTGAGTCTTGTTGAGCTCGTTCAGCCGTGTGCTCCCTCTCCTCATGGGGTGTCATGCTTCCCCTTTTATAGGTAAAGGGGAAGGCGCAGGTTACAGAGATAGAAAAGAGAGAGGAAAAGGGAAAAGCGAGGGAGAAGAAGGCCTTCAGGGCCGCCGCGTCCTTCTTCTCCTTCATGCGGGTCCTGTCGACGCTGTAGATGGCGATGGTGATGGCTCCACGTCAGGCTCCTGTTCACCACTAGTGCCATACCTCGACGTCATCAGCTGGTCGTGGCGTCCCATCCCGCCCCGGCGGATGGCGTGGTGGACCGACGTGCCTATCAGCGGTCGTATGGGGATTAGGCAGCACAGCGACCACGTACCTTGTCACTATTGGCGATTCGAACCCCCGGGCGTGGCCTGACGTGGCCACAGGTCATGTCGAGACGTGTCCGCTTCCCTCCCGGTGTCAGAAGTTTGACCCCGGGGTCGTACCCTCAGACCCGTAGTGGTTGGAGGCGGTATGCGTCCCCGTCGGGCGAGACGAAGCCCGCGCCCTCGAGGTCGGGCGGGACGGAGCCCGTGCCCTCAGGGTCGGGCGAGACGGCTCCCGTACCCTCGGGTTGGGCAACACGGGGCCCGCGCCCGAGGGGTCGGGCGAGACGGAGCCCGTGCCCTCAGGGTCGAGCAAGACGGCTCCCGTACCCTCGGGGTCGAGCGACACGGAGCCCGCGCCCAATGGGTCGGGCGAGACGGAGCCCGTGCCCTCAGGGTCGGGCGACACGGGGCCCGTGCCCGAGGGGGTCTGGCGAGGCAGAAACCGTCCCTTCAGGGTCGGTCGAGACTGAAATACGTCCTTGATTATCTAGGCGAGTTTGTCGTCCACGGTCCTTAGATCCCTTCTTTGGGTATCCCTAACACTGATACCCGACACCGGTATTCAAGGAGTTGAACTAGGATTTCTAAATGGATAGGATAGGGTATGTCTATATGTGATAGATAATGTAAATGCAAAAATTTGTCTTCTAAAAAGGGAAATATTGAATGAATAGATTGAAAATTTGAAACTTTGGTATTTCTTTTTCTTCTGGACAAGATAGTTGCCCTAGCGAGAGTGGGATTTCTACAACAATCCCAAAACCCTCAGAAAATAATTGTTGAAAACTCGTGGACAAACAACAGTCCTAACATATAGCCCAGCTCATAATTTATTCGTCCCCAATGAAAACCAGTTCTCGAGGAAGTCTTTCAGAGAGATCGGCACCTTGTCCCCAGCCCAGAAGCCTCTCTGAAAGAGAACCAGGCGAAGCTAGGTAAAAACACACTTGAAAAAGCACATGATCTGTATTATCAGAAACACCAGAAAGTATGCAGTTATTGTTTCCTTTCGGATTTTTCCTCTGTAAGGTTACCCCTACTTGTATTCTGTTGTGTAGAACTGGACGCATGAACAGTTTTATATTTCATGTTCTGCCGGATCTTTTGCAATCTTCTATCTTTTTTAACACCCCTAAAAGAAAGCATTTTGTACATGGACTTGGTTGTGTACCATTAGCATCTGAATGTTTCAAGCACTCGGTGTACTTAATCTTTGGTTTGAATTCAGTTGCGCTGTGTTCCAGTAAACCCAGCTTGTGAGTTCCCTTTGCCCAAACGCTCTTGGATGTTGATGGTATGGTCCTCTCTGTCCCACCAGTTAGCTACCGCTACTCTTAGGTCTTCACAACCGACTAATGAACATTGTAGCTGCAGCCGCAGTAGCGGCTTTTTTGCGCAACGGAACACCCCCAAGATATAAAATCTAGAAATAACATCTTAAGAGACACTTTCTGTAATCCAAATGTCACCCCAAAGGAGTGTATTTGAGCAATTGTTTCAGACCGACCCAGAACTGAGATCCCCCTTTACCCGAGCAAGTTGGCAAATTTTTGTTCTCCAGATACGTTCTCTTTAACAAAGAACAAACTGGATCACCACTATAGTTCAATCTCCATACCCATTTCAGTAACAAGGCTGTGTCCATCAGCCTTTTGTTTAGTAAACCCAGTCTCCCATAGTCTTTGGGAATGCAAAGTTCCTTTCTTTTAATAATCTGCCTCTATTGCCTTGTACTATGGAATTAGCTACTCCCATCATTTCAAATTGTATGCCACTTTAACTTTGTTTTAAATCAAATTTCTCTAACTTTAAATAAAGATTTAGAAAACTATATTATTATTCACAAGTTCAACTGAATGTACTATCAATCCGTATTTTATAGAGACTTTTTTATGAAACCAATTTGATGTTATAGATGTGGTGTTTCTTTCTGTAAATTTGGTCGGAGCTAGTAAAGTTTGAATCAAGACAAAATTAAGGTGACGTATTAAATGGATGTGGTATTCTCTCAAGTTTTAAACGCTGCCATGTTCTCTCTTCAAGCTGCTTTCGGAGCTGAGCGACTGTGTATGAACCTTTTCGGGCAGGCGGGCAGCAAACACCAAACTGCACCAGCGAGAAGCCAGCGGCGGCAACGGCTTAAAAAAATGTGAAGCGGACAGGTCCTTTATTTGTCACGGTGGATGCAAGCGCTGTTATCGTACTGCCACTCTTGCGAAAAATTGAACTGCGTTTGGAATGCGGGATTTTTTTTTCTCTATTCCTGCGTTTTTCATGTAAAATTGAACTGATTCCTGTAAAATTTCTGTGTAATTCCTATGAAATTCCTGCGTTCCAAATAGGCCCTGGGATAAGTCCATCTGACATGAGAAGTGACGCAGTCGGTGAACAAGGAGCATTTTCGGAAGCTACTTTGGTGTAAGAAAAAGACCTTGGTTTTCTTGTTAAAACAAGGATATACTTGAGCTTATGGACAAAAGAAGATTTTGTTATGCATATCGCGGTCTCCTGCCCACTCCTCTGGATTGCCTGGAAGAGCCACGATCGAGTGATCTTCGACGACAACGTGAACCAAGCACCATCGGTCATGGAGCCGCCGCGTAGGAGCATATAACTTTTCCACCACAAAAGAAAGTGGTATTTTGTTTCAATGTCTCTCCGTTTGAAACTATAATTCATTTTAGTTTTTCTAAACATATAGGCTTCGTTCGACAGCAGATAAAAGCAGATGCTATTGGCTACAGCAGTACAATATTACTGCTCAACTGTAGCAGCAGCCAGTTGATAAGTTGAGTCGAATAGAGCCATAACTTTTATCATGAGCCTAGTTATCTAGATATCTATTACAAAGTATGTCTACATACTCCAAAATCAGGACGACTATGATTTACTTCATCGGTTCTAAATTATAAGAAGTTTTGGCTTATCTAGATATACATTACTAAGCAAAATAGCAAAGTTCATATCAAAGGTAAAGTAGTAAAGTGTACCTGAAACACCGAAACGTCAATCAGCATGTTCGCGTGTTGGTTTCAGCCAGAGCTTATCAGCCAGCCAACAGTATTTTTCTCCCACAACAAACCAGTACCAACCGGGCTTATCAGCCCAGAAACCAACCAGCGAACAGGCTGAATAATTTGAAAGGGAGGGAGTTGTGTGGTCTCCGAAGCATGAGAGAAAGCAAACCTGCCGTGGAGAGCCAGAGTCATACGTGGCAAGTCGGTGCAATTATCCACGCTCCCTAGTCCCGCCCGCTCAGGCAGCGGCGACGGAGAGGAAGGTCGTCGATGAGGCCCGGATGCGGAGCTGCGGCCCGCGGCCGCGGGGGTGCCGTCCGAGTCGGCCGACGCGCGGCAAGCTGTTTTCTGATCCTGCAACGTTGATAAGCGCCACTCTGCAACCACCAAGGACACGGTACGAGCTCGTTCTTCCGCACGGTAGTGGAGCACGCAAGTACACGCAACGCACTTCTCCGGCCCGACCAGCATCCACTACGCGAAGCAACTACTCAGCATCGCAGGCAAGTCGAGGCACGGTGTCACCGACAGGTGGATCACGCAGACGACCCGGCCACGCTGCTCTACTCCTCGGGCACCACGAGGCCCAGCAAGGGCGTCGTCGCCACGCACCGGAGCCTCATCTCCATGGTGCAGATCATCATGACGCGCTTCCGCCTAGAGGGCTCCGACAGGACCGAGACCTTCCTCTGCACGGTGCCCATGTTCCACGTCTACGGCCTCGTCACCTTCGCCACGGGGCTGCTCGGCTGCGGCGCCACCATCATCGTGCTCTCCAAGTACGAGCTCCCCGAGATGCTGCGCTCCATCAACGAATACGGGGTCACCTACCTCCCGCTCGTGCCGCCCATCCTCGTCGCCATGCTGGCGCACCCCAAGCCGCTGCCGCTCGGGAACCTGCGCAAGTTGGTCTCCGGCGGAGCGCCGCTGAGCAAGGAGCTCATCGAGGGGTTCAAGGAGAAGTACCCGCAGGTGGAGATCCTGCAGGGCTACGGGCTGACGGAGAGCACGGCTATCGGCGCGTCCACGGACTCTGCCGAGGAGAGCCGTCGGTACGGCACGGCTGGGCTGTTGTCGCCCAACACCGAGGCTAAGATCGTCGATCCGGAGACCGGCGAGGCGCTGCCGGTGAACCGCACCGGCGAGCTCTGGATCCGGGGGCCATACGTCATGAAAGGTAACAAAGCTCGGGAATCACGTATGTCCATTGTTTAGATTTTATTTCAGATCAGATGACTAGACTCTAGACATATGCCTTCAACTGCGAATGTCTTTGACCAGGGTGTGGTGTTAATAATAAGATAATAAGGGTAATTGCAAAAGGAAGAGATAACCATGTGCTGATAATACTTGCATAGTACATAGCTTGCAAGAAAACAAATCAGTGTTACCAAGTAACCAAGATGTATCTTTGTAGATCTCGATGCTGGGCTCCAACTTCCTGTATTTAATAACAAGTAATCATGTGCCGACATGCATGATGTCTGTTGAACATGTATGCCATCACAGTTGCTGGCTTACTGCTACAGTTTGTTTTATGTCAGCAATCTATTGCAATTTGATGTTCACCAATATGTCAGTGATCTGTGTTAGCTGTGCTGAACTGTGATGGCATATTGGTGTCACCTGGAACTGGAAGCCTTTTATGCAGTCTCACTTCTTCAAGCCTAGTTCAGGAATCCGCTCCCAACAATTTTCAGTAGAGTGCTAGCACACAATATGGTCAGGTCAGAAAGTAATGGAATTGCCTGCCATCAGTATGCTCATTTTGTTCCAGACCGCTAAATATGTACTCAGGTGGTCCTCGTCTCACAAATACAGTCAGTTTATGTTAAAATGAGTTTCAGAGAATGTACCCATAGCATCTAATGTCACCTCAGGAAAAGAGCGTGCCACATTATCTATGTTATTGATTATGCTTAACCACAGAATCCAATTTTGCTGTTTAATATATCTTGATCTTGAACGAGTACTCATCAGGATTTGCCCTTCTGAAAGTAGAAGCATGAGCGTAAGCAGACAGCAAGTGTTGATGCTGATTCTTGCTGTCAACAGCAAGCTTAACTAAATGTTTATACATTGTGGATTGACTGCCACCACACTAGTTGTAAGATTTCAAGTGTTGACTTTGTTCTGTCCCGAACATGCATTAGATTGAGCATGTATGAGATTTGCTTCTACTGCCGCCTCAGTTGTTTCATATCAGCAATCTAATTGCAGTTTGATGTTCTCCATTCTCCAATATGTCAGTAAGATGGATTAGCTGTGCTCAACTGTGATCGAGTAATTCACAGTTTGTGTCCCCTGGAATCCTTTAGCGCAGTCCCACCCTTTAAGCGTAGTTCAGGAACTGATTCCAACCATTCTATAGAGTAGGACACAACATGCACAACTCAGAAGTACCAGAATTGCTGCCTCCAGTGCTTAGACAACAAAGTTCCTATGTATTTTGCATGAATTTCACGGTATGCTCATTTCATTCAACACCGCTAAATATTTACTGTACTCAAGTGAGCTCATCTCACAAATAGACAATCAGTTTATACAGTTAGGATGAGTTTTCAGGTAATTGCCCCTGAAATGTACTAGTAGCATCTAATGTAACCTGTCTAACAATGCTCAGGAAAAGAGCATCATTTTATATGTTATTGATTATGTTTAATCACAGATAAGTTAATTTCGTCTGGGAAAAAAAAGAAATTGTTTTAAAAAAACTTTGATGGTTAAATTATTTTGATCTTGAACAAGTGCTCAGGGTTTGGCTTTCTGAAAAAGGCAGAAGCATAAGTAGACAGCAAGGCACGTACAAAACAGCTATGTTTAACTGAAATGTTCATACTCTTGGATGACTTTCACTGGATGACTTTCACCCTACACTGGGTTGCAGTGAAGCAGTGTTGACTCTGTTCTCTCCCGAACGTGTATTAGAATGTTCAGAAATTCGGGTTGTCAACACTTGATGTTACTTTCTGTTGATTCAGTAACCAGAATATAGTTTGATTTTCATTTTTGAACCTTAACGGGAAGTGTGGTCTGGGTATCACAAACAGTCATAGATAAGTAGTGGCCTCTGGTAACATGAATTCCGTAGTAGTACAAGTTGGTAGATTTCATCTTTTAGAACAGGTTGGTCAGTACCTTATGAACATGCAACTTTGATCTTCCCAGGGTATTTCAAGAACACGGAGGCAACACAGTCAACGTTGACACCTGACGGATGGCTCAAGACTGGGGATCTCTGCTACATAGATGAGGATGGGTATCTCTTCGTTGTGGATCGGCTGAAGGAGTTGATCAAATACAAAGGGTATCAGGTAAACATCGCTGACCTCTGATATCTTGCCTTGAAATGCCTCTCTACAGTTGTCACCTTGTTGGGCAAGGCCTGGCTGAACCTCTGCTGTAAACACTAAAACTCTGAACACTTGGTCCTGCTGCAATCCCATAGCAGCCGCGGTTCCGTCCCTAGAATTCGAAGAAAAAAAGATTAAAAAAATGCTTCTTCTGTAGTCTGAACCATTATTTTTTTGGAGAATAGTAGTCTGAACTGAACTATTAAGTGTTCCTTGGCATCTGAAATATAACTTGTATATGGACAGGTGCCTCCGGCAGAGTTGGAAGCTCTTTTGCTAACACACCCAGAAATCCAAGATGTCGCCGTTATACCGTGAGCGTCGGTAAACTCCTTATGGCATCTTGACTGTACCAGGTCTGTATTTAATAAATTAGTGAATGTGCTGGTGCTTTCGGCAGGTTTCCTGATCGGGAGGTCGGCCAGTTCCCAATGGCCTACGTGGTGAGGAAGAAGGGGAGCAATTTGTCAGAGCGCGAGGTGATGGAGTTTGTGGTGAAACAGGTACAAGGAACCGAAACATCACGTTCACTGTATATACATAATGCATGCATTCCTCCGACTGAATTTCTGCATTTTCTCTGACCTGCTGTGGTGCATGTAACGTTCACAGGTAGCGCCTTATAAGAAGGTAAGAAAGGTGGCGTTTGTGACAGAAATTCCCAAGAACGCGTCCGAGTTTACTGTTGTCATCCACGAGCAGCGAGCCATTCTCTACGCTGCCCCAGTATTGTAGGATGCTAGTAATTGAAGATCCCATCGGCTGTGTGTGCCTGTATAGACTGTTCTCATACAAGATTTGGAGGCAATAATAGTGCGTCTGTACCTTTTTTTTTTAAAGAAAGGAGTTTCCTCTGCTGTTAAGAAAGCTGTAAAGTTTACTAGTGCGTCTGTACCTAGGCTTGAATAATCAGCATATAGGAAATAATTTCCGATAATTTTCAGTGTTCTATCACAAGAATTTTTTTTTTCATGCACGGATCATCACAGGTCATTGCCCTAGCTCCTGCTCTGATCCTTTTACCTCACCCAGACACCCTGCCCCTGTGTGTTCAGTCAGGTGTTGAGCATCTTTTCGCTTGATGGAGTCTGCCGTCTAGTGGGCCGCGGCCCACGGACTGCCCATCTCCGAAACGTGTATGACATGTAGAATCCACTGCTGCTTTTCAGTCAAGCAAACGTGAAAATGAACATAAGCATCCAACAAGCAGCCTCGTTCTTTTGAGGGTAAAATGGTAAATACAGACATACAGTACTTATAGCAACATCTCTGTCACTGTCAGCCCGGTGATGCGTTCTAAGGGTTCGTGCGATCTGTCTACGCGATGACCCTGCCGTGACACGAATTATCATCGGGTTCACTAGCAGCAGCCCTTTCGGTCAGGGTCAGTCCACCGGTGGCATCCGCCCTTGGAAAAGCATGCGAGGTGATCGTGGGCTCGTGGCAGGAAGGCACGCTTGGCCGCCCGTGGCTTTTGGAGCTTTTTCTCCGATGCGATCTCCGACAGAATAAAGGAGAAACCGACCGATGGAAGGCGGTTTCAAACGTCCTATACCTAGCTCGCTGCACGACGTCGACGACCCTCGAATGGATTTGGAGTAAAAGGATCGGGGAGCTAGCAAGGAAAATGAGAACGACTCGCGCAAAAGCAGAGGAAGCACCGGGAAGGCAGACGAGAGCAAACCGCAGACGGCAGTGGCAGTGGCACCAGAGACCCTGCAACTGCAAGGCAGCAATCCCGGCTTGGTTTCCCGGGGGAAGCACGACGTGCCGCCGGACCACGGCTCCGGCGGTGAGACCACAGACCAGCAGCATCGGCATTCGGCCGCTAGTACGCACGTGCAGCTACGTGGCGGAAACGGATCAGAGAAAGCTGGAGAAGAATCCGCGTGGTGAGGTGAGGCCGGGGACGGCACGCTCGCACAGCAAGGCGACGACGGGCCGCTTCTCGGCCGGCGACCCCAGACGTCCAAATCAGGGTGGTCGCGCGAGTCAATGCAGGCACGAGGCACTGCGCGATCCGTCGTCCTGAATCGACGACCGATGCCAGGACGACGACGTGAACACAAGGGGACAAGGCGGGAGCAGCGGGCCGTGCAGGTGCAGGCATAGCATTGCGCGTTACACGGGCAGGAGCTAGCCCAGTTTTTGGGGTGGGGCAGTCAGACTCAGACGGCGGCACGGCGCTTGGGCCTTGAGTTGAGTAGAGCCGCCTTCAAGCGCGCGGTCGCTGGGGGCTGGGGCGGGTCGGCCCGGGTCACCGCCTGGCGGGTGACGGAGCGGCCCTTTGTTTGTTCCGTAGCGTCACGGGCAGGAGTCGGGAGAGACCGGCGCGTCCTGTCACGAATTGACAGCCTAGCCGCCGCTCGGGGGTCGAACGGACCCGGCGGCCGCCCCGCACGCACACGTAGCCTGCCAGCGCTGCTGCGCGTCCGTGCGCGCGCGCTACCTGTCTACAGAAAGGGGAGGGACACCGTGCAAGTGGAGCAGTTCGCTGGCCATGCCGTCGCGGTTCAGAATATGGGGCATCGGATCGGTGGCGCCAATCGTCGCCTCTGCCGCCGTCCGTCCTGCGTCGTATGCGGGTTCAGATTCTCTAACTTGCTGAAGGAAAGTCACCGCCTCACCGGTGACTTACTCCATGTCCGATGTCCTCCATTTCACATCCAACGGCTGATAGAAGATGTAACTTTTCCACCCCCAAGCAGCAAAGCCCAACTGTGGTTTTGGCCCAAATATAGTCCAACTCGGGATTATTATATATGAAACAGAGAAATAATAGATAATGGCCACGTTCGCTTCGCTAAAAAAACAAATCGAAACACTGTTCCGGCTGATTTGTTGTGAGAGAAAAAAACATTGTTCCGCCCGAAAAAACAAACTGAAAAAGATGGATTATAAGAGAAGCGAACAGGGCCAGTTTTACTAAGTATTTTCATAGCAAAATTAAACAGGCATTTTACTAAGTATTTTTAATGAGCAATACTTTGGTAACCTCTTTACTTACTAGGAGGTAATACCCCAAATAAATTTAATCCCTTGATTTTTTATAGTTTTTTGAATTAATTATTAATTAATCTATGAAAAGAAAAAGAGATATAGTCAAATCCTCCTCATCAGAACCTTCCTTGCCGCACCTTTTCTTGTTCTCGCCTTTCCCTTTTCCGTTCTGTGACTGTGCATAAATATTTTATCCTACTAAAATAACTGATAAAGCATACAGTATATGCTCGCAATAGAATTTGCTTCGCTGAGCACTTGAGCAGTTGAGCTGGTGGTGTTTGTACTTGTACTGTTCCGGTGGTATGGTTAGTTATTATTATTATTATGGCCGTGTTTAGATCTATGTTTGGATACTAATAAAAAAAATTACAGATTTTGCCAGTAAACCACGAAACGAATGTATTAAACCTAATTAATCTGTCATTACCATATGGGTTACTGTAGCACTTTACTGTCAATTTATGAACTAATTAGGTTTAAAAGATTCATCTTACAAATTATTTACAAACTGTATTATTAGTTATTTTTTAGTCTAAACAAGGGATGTATCATGCGTGTTGCAGAATAGTACTACGTGACAGTGGAATAGTGCGTGTAAGCGACGTGCAAGATGGATGAGATGATGCTCTTCTCAAGGCATTGATACCGCAAAGATTTGTCAATTAGGGCGGGCCGGCTACCTGCGTGTCTGTACACAACGTCAACGCTTATCGTGTTGGTATTGGGAAGCTGAAGAACCCTCATGTGCGCTCAATGCAACATATTTCCAAGGATGGGTTTTCGTTGCACACACACACGAAAATGGGAAAATTTATTTCCCAGAAAATAGCCTACTGCAATCTTTAATCTTTGCTCTATCAATACAAGCCGTGCGGAGACTCTCATGAGACTATGAGAGAGTACTTTCGATTTCTTTTCCTTATTATTAATTACACTATTTTATATTTTATACCATTCGCGAATCAATGGACCCGTGATGTAATCCTGTCATTGCGATACATGCATTACAACACAGCAGGGGCATCTGTATTTTCAAGGATATATAAGCACATAACGGACGCAACACGCTCATTATTGATGGGTCAATGGAGTGGTTAGGCTCTTGTCAACTGCAACTCAAATGCATGCCACCCCGGCCGTTTCAGTATCATTCCACAATGGCTTATGGGATCTGATTACTTCGCTTTCAAAATTTGCCATGCCAACGATTTGATAAGCCATAATTTTATCTAGTATTTGGTTTGCTACCGAAACTTGTCAAACTCTTATATTTGGCTTGCCAAATCTATGGCAATATTTTTTCCTAACTTTTAACTTACCAAATCTTTACCATGATAAATTTTGGATGTAAACCCAGCATGCCCATGGTCACCAGACACTAGAAACCAAGCGGTCACTATAACACCCAAACAAAGACAAGAGAATAATTCTTCCATAGGCTTGGGAAAAACTTTCAAGAGTTTCAGAAATTCCATTTCCATGGATCATCCATGCACCATAGCTCTTTGTAGGTCTGTACAATCTGTTGGAACGGAGACTGCTACTACATTTAAGAAATTAGTCATGTTCGCTTGAACTTATCAGTCATGATACAGTATTTTTTTCTCTCACAACAAATCAGCGAACAGTACTTTTTAGCCTGACTTTTCAGCAAAACAAACATAATGCAGTGCAAGAGAAGATATATAAACCAGCAGGCCCCCAACAGATTCAAATGATTAGTACGTGATGCACTGATGCTGATGCATCATCACTAAACAAAACGGTTGCATCCTTTATTTGGCCTGTTCGCTTGGCTGATAAGCCATGGTTGAAAGTATCGTTGGCTGATTTGTTGTGAGAGAGAAAATATTATTCGTTGGCTAAAAAAGTACGGCTTATAAGCCAAACGAACAGGGTAATCTGTGCTCTTTCAATTATGTGGCCTACGCCGCAATCAAAGGCCCCCCCATGCGGCAGGGTGGGGCAGCTGCCCCACCTACTGTCGGCGGGAGCACCTAGTATCCCTGTCTTCTTCCTCAGGCGCGGCGTTCGAGTGGCGGCGTTCGGCCTCCGACGGCACGGCTGGACACTTGACTGGACTAGAACACATTATTTGGAGAGGGTCCAGAGCCGCATGAGCGAAGGCCAAAGGCCCAATAGAAGAATAGAGCCCATCAGCACAGCATCAAGGAATCACCTAGCTCTCGATCCCCAATCCCCCGACCCCGTCAGTTCATCACCGCGACGTGCATCAGGCCGCCGCCGCGCGGCCCTTAGCGCGCCGCTGTTAGTGCCGCCGCCCCTTGCCGCGACAGCCTTCAAGACTGCAGGTTGCCGCTCACCCATGCCTATTCTCTCAGCGGCTCAGTACTGCAGTGCAGGGGAAGGGCAGCAGCCAGCTGGTTACGGAGGACGGGGTTGGAGATGGTGAAGGTGAGCAGGGGAGATTTTACTTGTATCATGTAATTGAGATTAGTTCTTTGATAGTAGGCTAATGGTATGTCTCTTATTGTAGTGTGTCTTTTTAGATGTATTATCACATATAATTATAATTAATTACATGCTAACTGCTTTGTTATTATTCAAGTTTACAAGTTTTTTAGCTTTTGGATAATTGGATTTTGGACTCTTGTTTAGTTGGTGTTTGTTGAATCAATAGATTATATTAAGTTCATAAGGAGAGGTACCGTCTTCAATTAATCTTTAAATTTGTCATATATTAGATATTCATGTGTGCGTAGGATGTGATT